ATCTGACTACCATTTTTTCCAGATGACAAATTGGGGTCAACTGAAGATGACTATGAAGGCTCTTAGTGTATTTCTGACAAGTGTCCTCAGAATCTGTATCAATTTTCATCTATCTTCTAATTATTTTCACATTTCCTAAGAGAACAGGACACTGTAATAGAAACAGCACAAGGCACGGGTACCGGCGAATGAGCTTTAGTCCTAGCTCTTCAGGCAAGTACATCTTGAGCCTCGGTCAAATTAACTTGTGTATCTGAGTTCTTAATCTTTTTTCTTGGTTTTTTGTTTTGTTTTATCTGTAAAACGTAAACTAAAGTCCTTGTGGCAGGCAGCCTCTGACAAATACAGTACAGCAGAATAATGAGATACCACGTCCACGATTAAGTTATAAAAAGACTATAACTTCTGCCTTGGATACTCGCCCTCTCTTTTGTTTTTACTCACTTGCTCTGAGGGAAGCTAGCTGCCATATTGTAAGCTGCGCTATGGAGAGAACCCACATGGCAAAGAACGAAGGGAGGCTTCCAGCATGCAGCCAGAAAGAAACTGAGGCCCTCAGTCCAACAGCCCACAAGGAACTGCAGGAATCCTGCCAAAAGCCACATGAATGAGCTTCAGAGCAGATCTTCTCCCCGTAGAGCTTCAGAAGAAACTGCAGCCCTGTAAACAGCTTGACTGCAACCTCATAAAAGACCTTGAACCAGAAACACCCAGCTAAGCTGCACTCCGATTTCTAATTCACATAATAAATGTTTGTTGTTTTTAAGCCCTTAAAGTCAGGAATAATTTATCATGCAGCAACAGATAACTAAGACAATGCTGTTCAGCTCTATAACTGTATATAATTCTACAGTGCATTATGTTGAAGCACTCGCTCATCTATGCCAAGAAATTTAGAAGACAGCTACCTGGCCAACTGACGGGAAGAGCTCCTTATTTGTGCCCATTCCAAAGAAAAGGTGATCCAACAGAACACAGAAATTATCAAACAATATCATTAACATCACACGCAAGTAAAATTATGCTGAAGATAATTCAAAAAAAGTTGCAGCAGTACATTGACAGGGAACTGCCAAAAACTCAAGCCAGATTCCGAAGAGGGCATGGAATGAGGGATATCACTGCTGATGTCAGATGGATCTTGGCTAAAAGCAGAGAATACCAGAATGATGTTTATCTGGGCTTTAGTGACTACGCGAAGGCATTTGACTGTGTGGATCGTAACAAATTGTGGATAACACTGCAAAGAATGGGAATTCCAGAACACTTAGTTGTGCTCATGTGGAACGTGTACATAGACCAAGAGGGAGTTGTTTGAACAGAACAAGAAAATACTGTGTGGTGTAAAGTCAGGAAAAGTGTGCGTCAGGGTTGTATCCTTCACCATACTTATTCCATCTGTATGCTGAGCAAATAATCCAAGAAGCTGGACTACGTGAAGAATGCAGCATCAGGACTGGAGGAAGCCTTATTAACAACCTGCAATATGCAAACAACACAACCTTGCTTGCAGAAAGTGAAGAGGACTTGAAATACTGATGATCATAGATGACAGCCTTCAGTATGGATTACACTTCAACATAAAGAAAACAAAAGTCCTCACAATTGGACCAATAAGCAACATTATGCTAAATGAAGAAAAGACTGAAGTTGTCAAGGATTTCATTTTACTTGGATCCACAATCAAAGCCCATGGAAGCAGCAGTCAAGGAATCAAACAACACACTGCATTGGGTAAATCTGCTGCAAAAGACATCTTTAAAGTATTAAAAAGCAGAGATGTCACCTTGAGGACTAAGGAGTGCCTGACCCAAGCCATGGTATTTTTAATCACCTCGTATACATGCGAAAGCTGGACAATAAGGAATATGGAAGACTGAAGAATTGACACCTATGAATTATGGTGGTGGAGAATGACTGACTATACCACGGACGGCCAGAAGAACAAACAAATATGCCCTGGAAGAAGTACAGCCAGCATGCTCCTTACAGGCAAGGATGGTGAGACTTTGTCGCATGTAGTCAGGATGTGTTATCAGAAGAGATCAGTCCCTGGACAAGAACATCATGCTTGGTAAAGCAGAAAGTCAGCAAAAAAGAGGAAGACTCTCAACGAGATGGACTGACACAGTAACTGCAACAATGGCCTCAAACACAGCAACGACTGTGACGATGGCGCAGGACTGGGCAGTGTTTCGTTCTGTTGTACGCAGGGTTGCTATGAGTCGGAACTGACTTGATAGTTCCCAACAACAACAACAGTACTAATGAACTTATTTGAACAGGCCAAAAAAATAAGTTTCCTATTCAAGGGCAGCAAATTAGTAACATTAGAATTTGAAAGCACTAAATTATGAAACCTAAACATCTACATTTTTAATTCAAAATGCGAATTCACTAAAAAGTGTAACATTATTCAAATGGCGTTAAAATATACTAGGTATAACTAACAATACAAACCCAACCAATTGTCTCTTTTTTAATTGAAAATAATTTATTTGGAAGCTAAAGTGTGAACAAACCACTAAAAGCATCTCAGTGATTTACTGTCTTTTACTTTCTAGAACTCAAGATTATTTAGGTCTCACCAACTTTGAGAAACCTCGTTTTGTTTTTACTTAATATAAGCCTCTGAACATTACAAATATTTATCTATAGACCTGTATGTGAGTCTTCAATATTAGGGTTTAGTAACCCTGGTAGCTGATTCCAAGTAACAGGCTCAGTGAGACACAAGAGTACATTTCTTAAAGCTCTACATCTG